CAAGTCTTAGTGCCAATTTAAGGAGCCAACTTATGACTGAAAACAGCACATGAAAAATAAACCATAAATCTTTTAATAAGCAAGCATTTTTTGTTTGGTTTTGGTTTACAGGTTTTTAATCACTAGCCAGATGGAAATTTTTAACATCTATTACTTTTACTCATTGTTTGGAAGGTTTAGACTTGAAATTGTGAAGTGAATAAGTGAGCTCCACCCTTAAATTCGCTCTACCATATATAGATACATATACATATAGACCTTTGAGGCGCGGTTCAGAGTGTCTGGATATATTTAAAGCAAACAAGCTGTGGTGACAGAAGTTTATGCATTTAATTCAAATACAATTTAGCTTATTTGAAAATGTTTATACATTTTACAGTTTATTTCTGACCATGTCATGAACACATGTCTTTTTTGCTTTCATAAATAAAACCTTAAAAATGTGATTAAAAATTGCTTTGGTGTAACAAAAGTAACATCGGAAGCACTGGAGAGGCAACAGGGAACCGTTTTGCAAGTGCTTTCCACGGACCATTCCTCTCTCCTTATCCCTCCTGACTAATTATTCTATAGTTGTGCTTTTTTGCTAGTGCTCTTGTCACAGCTGGTAGAATGAGCTGGTATCGGCAGCAGATTCATGCTAACTCAAAGTATGAAGGAGACATCGTGAGATGGGCCAGCACATATGGAAAGCTGAATACAAAAAAAAAGTACAAAAAAATATTGCAAAGTTCATGAAGATAACTTGATCTACAGTAATTTGCATTAAACATCAGCTTTGATAAAGCTGAAGCTTGATAAACAGTCAGATCTTACATCATGTGAGGACGAGTGAGGCCAAGTAAATCCACACTGACATGACGTTATTTGGGTAGGGGTGCACATACACAGCCAGGGCAAACTCCACATTTGATGCCTGAACACTGTGAATGCCAGTGCTGTACACTGCCTCTATAATGGGCCGGATCTCAGAGAACACCAGATTGAGGGGGAATCCTGAAATCTTCAAAGGAAAAGAGAGAAAAAAAAAAGAGAAAACCAAAAAAACTGTTAGTGATATGAATTTTTCAAAGTCAGCTCACGCGCTTTCGGCCAACTTCTTCAGCACTGGACTTAAGATCCATGACACAACACAGTGACTCAGAGTAGCTTCTTGCAGAGGCACACCCTTTTTCAGACTTACTCTGTAGTCTCCCAGCAGGCTCTGCAGCTCATGGCGGTGTCCCTCAGCCACATCTTGTCCTCGGATCAGCTCCAGCTTGGGCAGGAACTGTTTCAGGGTGGTGGTGCAGTAGCGGTTCCAGCGGGTTGGCTGACGAGGTCGCCACTCCATTATCTTCTCCTTCAGGATCCTCTCGATTCTATTCAGAGTGACATGGTGCATGTGCTGCGTTTAGCCCGTGGTTGTTTTGAGAAGCGGCAGTTTCTGCTGTTTTACTTGCCTGTCCTGAAGCTCTGCTGCAGCTGCCCTGTCTGTGCGACGATACACCAGCTCCTCTGGCTAAAGACAATGACACATTTTTGAGAAACAAACAAAGAAGTAAAAATAGGTTTATACAGTAATACTGAACACTTACTTGTATGCTAGACAGTCCAGGGTGGGAGAAAGTTCGGGAGAAAAACGGTTTCCACAAATTAGCTTTTGTGATGTCAAAACTGACCCTCATTGGTGATGTATATTGTTGAATGTTGAACCAAACCTTAAAATAAAAAAAAACAAAACAAAAAAAACCTCAACAAAAAGCAGACATGAATATAAAACTATGCAAAATTGTAAAAATGATGAAGAGTAAATATATGTATAAATCTTTACTCACATTGTCAGCATTGACCAAGCAGCCAACTGCCTGAAGTGGGCAGAAGGTGTCGTACTGCCCGTAGAACTGACCGCTGCAGGGATTCCAGATAAGGTAGAGGTTCTGCTCAAGGGTCAGGACATAAGCCGTGGGTCCCTGAGGAGGGAAGATTTTAGAACTCTTAGTGCTGCTGCAAGAACAAGTCTGAAAAATGAAGCAGCAAAAATAGCTGTTCTTGCAGTGGTGGCTGAAGACTGGTTGCAAAAGTCAGTCCCCATAGACTCCATTATCAAACTATGGAACTTTACAGCAAAGATAAGCATATTCACAGCCAACAAAAACTCGTTTGGTCTCTATGAATTTTCTTAAATAAAACATATTTAAACTATATTGCTTAGAGACTGTGGGTCACAGTGGGTGTAGCCGCTAGCTGTCTGCTTGTCTTTAGCCAATAAAAACTAACACTGAAGCAAGGACCTCTTACCCCTGTTTGGTATGTTTTTAAAGAATAGCAGTCTATGAATACAGCTTGCTAATGGTAATTACTTCAACATTTATTTACAGTCTATGTGCAAGTTTTTAAAGCTGTGCTCTACTTAAAAATGTTACTGTGACACACATGAAATGTCTTCAGGTTTAAGAAATAAATGTCACCCACCTCCGGTATGGCTGTGCCAATTATAAGCCAGGCTTTCTTGCCCAAAGACAGGAAGTAGTTGCACAACAGTACAGCGTGTTCCTCTTCATCACCCGCTAGAAGGGTTAGGAATTGCTAAAAACAAACAACAACAAAAAAGGAGCTACCAAAAGGTACTACAATATGAGCACTGCCCTTCTGTATACAATGCTGGCTTCTTGAAGAAAGTTCACTTACGTCACAGGTGCTCCAAAGATCGCAGGTTGCAGAAAATGAAACTTGGTCAGGCAGAGAAGGGATGAGTGACACAAATCGAGCAACGAGGGGCTGTGCGGGGATAAATATCAGTGCATCAGCAAATTATATCTAATTACCGAAGACGTTTTCTACATTAAGTAATATCACACTGACCGTGGCTTCCAATGGGTTATTGGGGAATTCATCCAGTAGCTCCTTTGGGGGACTGAGTGGTCGAATGTAACGTGTGATGAAGACCGTCTTCCCACTGAGGTCTATGACTGTGGTAATGCAGGGTCGGTCTGGGTATCTCTGAGCTGCGTCCCTCTCAAATCTCTCTGAAGCTTGCAATAAGCGCTCATCCTCTTGGGTGTCAAACTGCAAGAGAAGGTCAAATGAACAATGAATAAGGGCACAGAGCTAAAAAGAAGTAACTTCAAATGTTGTGTCATGAATGGGTGATTAAAGGAGGATAAATGCTCTAATGGAGCAGTTACCTTCATTTCCTTTAT